GGGTAGAATGGTTGGTAGCCAGTAACCGTCAGAACCAGTCATACGTCTTTTGGATGGCTCAGCGCCAGTACAAGATCCTAACGTGTCCGTGAGGCATGAGGGTCAGTAGAATTCCTCAGTTTGCCCTACCCGGAAGAATAGGCAAGTAGAAATTGCCTTATTTGGTGGCGGACCACATTTGCACATGTCGCGATGCTGTAAGCACACAATTATGGCATTTGAAAGAAATATCGTTTGCCAGACGGAAACCCCACCACATCCTCTAGCAGCGCCGCTTATCTTCCGCGACCGATTATTCAATGAGGTAGCTCCATCTTTTCACGGTTAACCATCAAGGTGGCCACTCTCCTATCCATGACCTGGAGACGCACTTGGTAGTACTCAGTTGTGCTCTCCGAAGTTAGTCCGAGGGATTGTAAACGGATACATTTTTGCCACAATCTGATACATGGCTATGGACAATGTCTCTATGAAATGGGAAGGATTTCACTTCATCTCAACTGCAGTTTTTAGCGTTCACTTGTCATTTTAGTGTCATGCTGGCACAAACATGCCATGTGCACCTTTAAAATGCCTCTTGTCACTTGTTATATTTGTTTTTCTCGCATTTACATACCAGACCTCTTTCAATTTTGATTTGAAAAGCTTTACCGTGGTAATTCAAAAGCTTTGTGTGACGAGCACTAATTAGTGATTTTTAATAATGGAATTGTGAGATATACACAACATATTCTTTCCGTTGTCAATCAGTTTCACTGAATCGCGTGAGAAGGCTCCATAGGTTGATCAATTAATCCTACATTTAAAGATTTATGTTGGTTGTGTGTGCTTTTCTCAATTGGGTGCAGAGTAAACAGTCTGACTTGGAATCGAAGCTTAGAGTAAAACACAACAGTCGTAAATATTCATTTAAGAAAAGTGATCTTTTTCTATCATTTTGACTGATGCACAATGTAGCCAGCAAGGCTTGTTTTCAGTGATTCTTCTTCTCTGGCTAATATACCGTAATTTATAGACTTGGTTAAAATGGAAAGCGGTGATATCATGTACAAACAAATTTAACAAAATTTTAAAAAAATGTAGAAAATGACTACTGTTGCCCTGTATGGTATCTATTGCGAATGTGATGAAGATTGAAACGGGGGAGTAAAAATGCGGTTGGTGGGGTGCAGTTTGTGCACACTGCACGCTGAAGTCAACATGCTAAGTTTGATCTAGAGGGAGAAACTCCAAGATCAAGTCAGCTAAGTGATTCGACTACACAAGTTAGAAATAGATTACGTTTGTAATTGACTTTGTGACCTCATTTTGTAAACAAGACGGATAATGCATCAAATATATACAGGTGGTAATTAAACTCGTGCAACATCAATCTCATTTTAGAAATACACTCCAGTCTCCAATATCATACTTGTATATTGATGGCTATGGGTAAAGCGTATTGATTTAAGATTTTATCTCCCACATCTATGTCCTTAGTTCTCTCCTATAAATGTTGGAATTTGCGTGGCCTTGAGTGTTGAGATAAAATTTGCAGTAGTTCAAAAGTTACAGCTCAGATTTGAAAAATATTTTAGGCAAAGAAGCATGAAAATTCATTCATTTTATTGAATTGTTCCTGTTCGATGAGTGTTCATTAAGTTGAGCACAAGTATTCTAAATTGCTTATTTCTTTTCATTCAATGTGGAGTAAATGAGCAAATCAATGAAAATGTTCTGACTTAAATAAATTGATAAAATTTAGAGTATCAAGCTTGGATTAGCCCATTTGATTGCTCAGAGGCACCAGGCACTCTTGATGGTTCTCGGTGATAAAGTGTTTTGCCTACAAACTACTCACGCACTATCCACAATAGTGAAAGAACTACAAACATAGTGTTAGAAACATAAAAGTTGATCTTCGAAAGTTGACCTTGAGGTTTGCGGCTCGTTGAATATTTATTTCCCCTGGTCTGCTTAGAAAGGACTTCATCACTCTACGTCGCGGTTATCAGCCGTGTTTCTCTTATTCCTTTAAACACTCTGATAATAAAATTGCGTAATCTGCTTATCATTTCGTGTGGGACTTTCACCCATAAGATACTCATTGACCCCAGGAATCAACTCGATCCCGATCTATCTGCTTGCCGTTCCCACGCTTCAACCAGATCCAATTTTTGCTTCTTGCCCTCCCGCATAAACACTTATCGCAACTCACCGGTTCCCCATCTGGCTCGTATTCTCACTGATAAGGTGAGGATCCGTAACGAACTAATTTTAAACTTACAAAGATGAACACCTATATAAATTTTATCACTGTTGTATATTTATTATCATTTCGTTTTTATCCCATTGTAACGATGAACACATTTTTGACTGAAATGTAGGCACAGTCACCTGCACCAGTCATCCATAATACAATACAACTTAATCGGAGACGCAGTTGTTTTCTTGTGGAAGTGCTTTGATGTGAACATAAGTCCAGTTTGTTACATATTCAACGAAATTTATTCATCAAGACATAAACCGAGAGGGAGAAAACCGATCATATCAAAGCAAGACGATGGTTGCATCTGATCGCATCAGAGAACAGTTATACAAAACCAATCCGGAGGATGATCCTGGTTGATTAACCGTGTTTTTCTAACACTTTCGCTTAGAAAAAATGATGGCTCAATTTTAAATACAGCTGAGGCCACATGATATGAAGCCGTTGTGGAACGTCCAACAAAGCAGAGCATGTATTGATTTTACCAACAAATTCAAATCGCGTCGCCCGTCTATTTGGCAATGGGTTTATTTCACTGATGTGGTGAAAGCTGATCTACTAGGCTAGTTTTCTAATGAATTCCTTTTTACCTGTCAAAAAAGTAAATATTTATCCTGCCCAACGGGTTGGAAGGGAAGTGACTATTGAGCGCCTTGTTGTTGGTCTCCTGCACACACCAATATGGGCATATTCAAATTTCTTGCACTGATAAGAGAGGTTTTTGTTAACTATCACTTTAACAATGCATTCGTGGAAGTCATATTTTTCACAGATGAAGGTCGATATATCTTCTTCCTTGAGGTTGATAGTAAAAAACGGTTATATCTAATTATACTATTTTTCACATTTATGCGGTGTCTGTATCAGAAACGGATAAGTTAGCTACCTCGTCATTAGTCGTCAGCGGTAAGGGTGCGGGTTGTTTTAGAGGAAACTTGTAAATTCCGCTTGGTAATCAACTTGGTAGACTCCATGCTAAAGCGACTGTCTCCGGTGCTCAAAAATGAAGGAGAGCAAATGGAACATTGACGAGATGAAAGTACAATACCTGTATGAAATGCATGAGTCATTTTGATGAATAAATTCTAGTTACGTTTTCTGCTGTGACTTTATTATTCTACACCTGATGCACCAGCGACCATAGTCAAAATCGCGAAATCGTACATTTTACCGACATATGGCTAATAGAAGCAGTCAGAAGTGGGTATTATAGTAGACATGTTGCGTCCGATGTGGGGCAATATCCTACTCAATCCCATGAATGAGGCTTGAAAAATGAAGCATTGAGAGGAACAATTGGGATGAAAATCAGGATGTTGCACAAGTTTGGTCAATACCTGTATAGATAGATAGATACATATAGTGTATTTTTGATGTTTATTAATTTTTGTAGGTGGTGTCACCTCCTCCTTTTTATCCAAGCACTATCAATTGCAATTTAATAACCAAAGGATACAAATTACTGAAAAACATTTTGTTCCCTAAATTGTGCTCTGATCATAACACTTTTTTGGTCTAGTGAGGAGAGTGATTTTAACCGAAAGGCAAATAAACATTTGGTTTTACTTGGTTCAGCTAATAGCTGAAGGATACTGTGTAATTAACACAAAACAAAAATTTTAATGCGATTAAAGTTTCCCTGGAAATCCTTACTGGAAATTCCCTGAAGCTCACGTGGTCACGAGGGATACGTGTATAACCGGAACAAAGCCGATCGTTTTCCGTCTATGCTAGTCACATCGGTTATCGATTGTTTTGTCACCCGCTTGTATTTGCATTTGGTGACTCACCTGTCTGCGCATTCCATCGGTCGTTACATTTTGATTGTTTTCTGATAAGGCTAAATTGTCGCGGCATTTTTATCCAACAAAAGACAACTATTGCCCTTCCCCTCTAATTACTGCGCCACCAATAATACAATTGGAAAAGTTCTTTTAGTTGTTATTTATAGCTGAACAATNACTAACAGTTGCCGGTTGGTGTAAAACCGAATACACATACCAGAAGAACTTTATTATACGAGCAATTCTTTCGCCTGCCTCAATTCCAAAGTTGAACATGGCTTGCCAACACTATCCTCTGAGAACCATCGTTAAAATTCTCGATTCTGGTCAGTCATTGTCCATGTTATTGAGCACATTTATTTCAACTACCATGCCACATTGAACCTGAATGTAACTGAGAGTATGAACTGCTTGTAGCCGATTCCCGTATTCCCGAAGCAGCCACTTATTTTTCTAGCACTATATCAGACCCATTTACAGCGTGAGCTCTGACTTCGCGAAATCGATTTATTCACTTATTGTATGCTTGAAAGAGGGGATCATCCTGTACAGAAGTACTGCGTTCTAGGAAGTGCTATGGTTTACGCGGTGTGCAGCCTCACTTCGGTGGATCAGGCTGAAACCGTGTGGGACAGTAGACGGAGTAGACCAGCTGACGAATGAACTTGATCTGAACAATTGAGAACGCGGAAGTCCAATACACACACGAAACTACGTAACAGACGATCATTAAACAGCTCAAGCTGATAGAACAATGGGAATTGTGCACTCGTCGTTCAAGACACACCAAAGGCAATGTGATTTGTAACAGGTGGTCGATAACTTCTAATGCGGATGAAAACTTTTGGTTTCTTTCATTTATTTTCACGGTTACTGTACTTGATGAGTAAATGTACAATTTGCCAAACAACTAAACTGTTGGTTTGGAGTTTATGAGTATGTTTGCCGATCTATTCTTCTTCTTACAGCCGGATAACATGGGTAGCACCTCGTATTTTGCCTCGGCAATCTCTCTGAGAGCCGGTTGTGAAGGTCCAATTTTGACGGACGAAAATGTGAAAGCAGCAATTGTGAACGAGCTACGCAAGGAGATTGCTCGCCCCGTGCACAAGAAAGATTTGTTCCTCAGTGGAAGCCTTATCCACATTAATGAAGTAAGCGAAACCCGTATTGACGGAATAATGATCGATGTTTAAATTCTACGATGAATAACTTCGTTTTACTCATTCAAAATTTGCTAGCAGTTGTTTTTGATCAACCTTGCTCACTTGTACTGTTTAAATCGTTGATGGAACGGTGCGGAAAACAAAATATAAAACGAATACGATGGGATTTTTGGCTTGCTTTAATTGTCTAAACAGTCCCACAGAGCACATTTTCAAATAGAACAGCGGAAGCCACAGCGGAAGCGGTAGGAATTCGGCTGCACCACCCCCCTTTGTGTGCCCAAAAACAATTTGTGCAGGCGCTTAAGCTCCCCTGGCCCACCCCCTATACACCCCATATTCCGAGTGGTCCCAACGATTGGATGACCTAACAATTATACGATCATTGAGAATTCCATATCCAGTCCCAAAATGAACTTAGCCCCAGATAACCCATGAGGTTATTTTCCCTTTCCCGAAACATTTGTTTACGTCTTTTATGATTGAATACTGATTTATATATAAACAGCGTAATATTTATTGTGATGTATTTGGCATGACTACGAATCACTGAAAACGAGCGTGTTCGCCACTCCTTGTTCCATTTGATAAAACGGATAGACAAGAAAGAGAACAAAAGTTTATTTGTGTTCCGTAAAACAAGCACCATTTGAGGCAACTGGTAACTACTCACAGGTAAATTGAATGATGTTGTAATATTAGAGGTACATTTTTGAGACACAAAGCCATTCGCTGATTGAATCGAAATAGTTCTTTAAATGAGCGAAATCTAAACAGCTGAGGGATGTTTTGGTGACGTAATTTAAATCATACTTTCATAAGCATTCTCAGGCAATTGTGCACAATAAACCGCGCAAATAATAATCATGAACATTTCTCTATATACCTCAATCTTAATGCGGTTAGTTTCCTGGATTTACATACTTCGTGATTTTCCAATGATGAATCAATAGCTATTTCACCGAAGTGTTTGATTTACAAAAGATCCATCTACACGTTTTGACTGTAGACTTCGGGATGCGTAACGCCCTATTATTTCATCATTTCCGCGTACACTGTCACGTCCCTATCATAAACATGTTCGGGATCATATAAGATGGTTCAAAAGACAAACTTTTACAGGTCATCTGGGGAAGCCTTTGCTCAATCTTAGTTCAAGAACCATCGATTTTGCGGCAAAAAGATGGCTGGTCAAAGCACTTTGTGCGAAACGTTCAACTTTAACCTCTAAATATCTCCGTTGTTACTAAATAATTCGTAACTTTCAATGAAACATATGTCTGTCTATACTAAAAATGCACTGATAACAAAAAAGAAATGCTAATTATTCTCGATTGACAACAAGTCAGCTGAATAGCCCAATGAATATAACATCTTCCTCTATCGTAACTCTACCTCTAACATTACACAATGCAATTTTGATAGTCGATAAAGTTGCATGTATGATCTATTTTTGAACTGAAAGAAAGTGCTCCTTTTAACCTTAGATGCAATCGTATTGTACAGCCTCATTTGTGGTCGTATAGTGACAGTGATGAACAGTACAATAGCTGCAAATATTGTTTCACATTTATCGGCTGATTTGTCAAGCGGAACGCCCGGCATAGCCGGTTGCGTGCAGAATCAGTACTATTGGTCGGCTCATTCGGTGTTTTCCCCCAATTTACGACAGTTACCCGACATAGTTGTGGTTCTGTTATCCCGTCGCGGTCTGTCCAAACAACTTGCCTGAGCTGTTCTACTTGGACCGAAAATAAGGGAATCGATCGTCTCCTGTAATTTCGTACGCATCATATTGCTTAAGAAAGACAGAGTAACGTTAGCGAGAAAGTCCACTGTTCAAGCGTTCACACCCAGTTTACGGACGAATATGTGAATCCTTGCATGTGGATGGAGGCTGTGTGTGAATCGAATCGATCATATTGCTGGCCGGCTAAGAAGGGTAAAACTCCGTTTAGGTCGAATAGGTATTTGCTTTAGAATGTTACTGTAGCTTTGACAGTTCTCCGCACATGACACTTGGCTACCTTTGCTTATTCCGTTCCATCAATTTTATCAGGACAACAACGCGTAGTACGCAACGCCTAGAAAGATCTCAGGATCATATTCTTGTAGCAACTAGTCTACTGCAGAAAAAAGCAATAAAATGTACCTGTACTTCCAGAGATTTTTCTTAGTTGAGGATCATTGTGTGTTCTCTATGCATCTGTCCGACATTGATCTGTGTATTTACGGTTTACCTCATTAGACATGTTACCTGTCAAAACATCACCGCCGAGGAAAAAGTGATATCTTATAGACAAAATTCCATGGCAGAATACATGCCGGTTTACCCAAGTATCGCTCTGACTCATTAATCTGCTCTTTACGCTTACATGAAGGCTTGCAGCCATTCTCTTATTTCCGATTTTGTCCGCTTAATGTGGCGCTAGCCTTATTTTTCATGCTTTGTACTTGGCAGCAAGTTAACCCTGAATTGTTAGTTGAAATGTTTGGTTATATGGTTTCATTGTGCAGAAAACGTGATGATATTTTCGAATCGTTCTTTTTTCACACCTCTAGTACGTTGCTCATCCAGAAGTTGATCAATATATTCGATCGGTAACCTCACCGGCAGATGAGAAACACACGCGAAATCCGTTTTTGTCGATGTTAAAAAACTTATTCGGAATCGAGATTTTGCGCAGTCCTACTTTCGTCCTGTTAACAGTGTCTAGTATCGTGACAATGATCGGTAAGCACCCAGTTTAACACGCACAATCATACGCTACTGTTTGGATACCATTCATAGGCAATATACAAATAAATTTATAAAAATGGTAAAAATAATGATAGAATAATTTAGCTTGGCAAGCCAGGTAAGATAGTAGGCTTCTGTATGAATTATGGAAGCATCAGTAGTGTAGGTGGGATTCTAACTAACACGTGGACAAAATCCTAGATAATGTCTATGTTTGCGTTGGAATTCAACCGGGGTCGCTGATCTTTTCACTATTCAAGCAAGGTAATAAAACCGTTTGTAATTTACGGTCCTCTGGTTAGTTCAAAATATTCCAGTATCTCTTCAAGATCTCCAAACAAGTCACTAAAATTTCATTTTAATTCATTTCTGCTAATCAAAGATACACAAATGACACTCACTTCTGCACTAGTGTGCGCTTCATGAGATTAAATTCAAGAACCGGTCATCCGGAAATGTTTCCCTCAACCGGAGTCGGAAATTCAATTGGTTTTCTGGCTCAAGAAGCATACGATAAGTGAATAGCACATGTCACAACCGAATGTGACAAAAAGACGGTTATAATCTGAACATAAACACTTAAAACTGATGTCACAAACAATGTGTGCTGTTCTTTTGTTGGCTGCTGGTGGCACATATTAATTCAAAATATCCTCATGAAGCCATTATTTTATTTGTTTGCTTCAAGACATTTGTTTGTTTTTGTGATTGCACAGGAATTCGTCTGAGGAAAGAAACAGGGCACTCTTCTGGCAGGCATACGTTTACATTTTCATAAGTGACCGTTTTACCTACTTCTAATAACACAAAAATGGTACATTGGTGATGATGAGTCTTGTAGAATGCCACATGCAATAATGCACGACTGAGAGCTGATAATTAGACTTTAGTTAAACAAAGACTAGTGATAAATTTCTGTAAGAATTTTGGATTGTGGTAACCAATTCTACTGTACAATCGGGACATATTTCCCTTTCGGTTTATCGCTTATACTACACTTTCTCATTCCTATAGGAAGGAAATTTACAAAAACAGTAGGTGTTTTAAGATAAAATCATTTGGGATCGATGCTGCGAAACTGAAGGTTTCTGACTGAAAGCGATTAGAGTTGAGTAATATCCAATAATTTAACATAGAATACAGTGAGTTTGTCGACTGTGGGTTATATGAATTTTTCCTCCGTCCACGTAAACAATAAAATTCAAATACCCTTTGTCACAAAATATTCTTTGTTTAGTTCATTCAAGTGTTGAAATTTTCAGCAAACTATTATCTTTGTAGGTTATTTTAGCAGTAGCTCCATATTGTATAAAAATATTTCACTAGTTATATAGTTCACAATTTTATTTTGTTTGTTTCTTAACTGTGTATTGAACAATTTTCTTATCGATCTCCACCACGTATCTGTTGCAGGTTATATTGTCCCTTATCAGTTTCTCAAAGACAATGCGCAAACGTACGGGTACGATGAGGCCAAATCTTCTTATCTCCTAGCTTACTTGGGAATTGCAAACACAATTGGTCGTGTGCTAGCCGGTAAGCTTTTCGCTTAACTGGGTCAAGAATCCCCACAGTCGGCTGTTTCACCGATTATTATTCCTATGTTCAGTAATATTAACCGCACATTCATATGAACTAGAGAAAATATTAAACGGATGAACATAATTTCGATAAGGTCGTATAAATAAGATATTATGGGCCGAAAGGCACAAAACTATTTCATTCATCATTTCAAAGGCTTGGCATTGACAGATGGTAGAGAGACCATCCCCTTGCTCAGAAAAACAACTTTTCTAAGTAAACATTGTCTAAGGACAAAGAGAATGCATTCAGATATCAACCAATGATTTAAAATCGTACTCGCATACAGAAATAGGTGCTCTGATGTTTTGTTTAATCGTGTTTCAAATTAAATCACGCTGTCTCCAAGTGGCATTGGGCAAGTTTGGTTATGGTCTGAACAATAAAATAGAGGCAACCATAGGAAAGCAATTTTATAATGAGAGTTAGTAATTAAGCGCATGATTCATTGGGGCTTCTCATTAGGGGTTTAAACGGCAAATAGCTTCAGGAATCCGATGAACACAAAGTCAAAATAGGTCATAGGCATTGCGTTCACAGGAGAGAATGTTCCATTAGACAGTCGGTTCCTTATTGTGACGAATGTATGCTCAAGACTCTTACCATCACTGGTGTCTGTTGTTTCAAAACGATTCAACGCTTCTCAATCAAAATGTCTTGTGAATATATCCCTACATTAATGTGCATGCATTGGTTTACAAATAACTTTAACCGTTTTAAACATGCGTATAGCGGGCAAACAAAGGGCATGGTCAGCTCTTTATACTACGTTCCAAATTAGCGAGGGGGGGACCGATGGCCTTGCGTGAGTTCTCCGGAGTCTGGCAGCAACTGTTCAATTGAAAAGACTGCCGGAAATCCGGCGAAGTATGCAAAATTAAATTTCAACAAACAACTGACAGATTTGGAGTTGTTCTTATTAACACTTATATCTATAGTTCGGTTAGAAAATACGGCAATGAGCTTCAAAACCATTGCATACGTGTAAAGTACAGGTCTGATATCAAAGTACCCATAGATTAGGAGAAACAATAAATAAACACTGCTTGGGGTTTAAGATAACCGGTGTTGATGTAGTAGCGAACGGCTTAATCGGACTTCACACCAATTCGAATTTCTCGGGGACCAATTAAATGCGAATGCCAATGATGGAGACATGTAAAACGGGCAAGCTACGTGTTGCTGGCTGATATTGTCCAGAAACTGACAAGAGTTTACATGTGCCTGCACCTCTAATTTAAACACGCATCCATCATAACGCTTTGTTCACTTTCATTCGAAACTGTTCTCAAGCTGACAAGTGTTCTTACTGAAAGACAAAGCAAGTTGTGGAACTTGTATGATCAAGTCGGACGGGATTTCGTCTATTTGTCTGAGTTGTTTGTAGGCAGACAGTCAGATATGGTCCACAGAAATGTCCAAGTCATATGGCGACATCACCTGATTTGAACGAGTGATATTTGAGACCAGACAGATGAATGGCCTGCCATTATCAAGGTCGTAATTATACTCCTTGTGAATGGTCAACCGGAACAAACAAAGACGCACATTCAGGTCGGAATGCATCTGACCACGAAATTTAACCGATTATTAAACCCTTGTGGTTTTCCCCTTCGTTCAGAATTGTACTCCATCCAAAGACAGATGTAAATTTGTAGGAATATTGGAACAATAACAAATAGACACAAGAAAATCAAAGGAAAGATAGGCGATAGGCAGAAATAAAAGTTTCCAGTGCTCACAACCTTTCGTTATACCAATCACAGTTAAGATAGTCAGATCAGAGATAAGTACAAAATTTGAAACGACCATCAATTTCTACTGTTGAGTGCTTCGTCTATTATTAAGTATTTCCCACACGTCTGACGCCAGATTGTGTGCCAACCAAATCACGGTACAATAATCTGTATAAAAAGAAAAAGAACATTCCATGATTTGCATGTGGGTCGGATAATGCCAGGTTGCTCAGGCTAAGACAGGTGAATTATCTTGAGGAATCCACAACCGGAACCTGCGGCTATCCAAATCCTGGCTCACAAGGGAGCGGGGTGGTGTGAGAGAACCGCAATCCATTGGGGGATTGTTCCCAGTTCATCGGATCATACGCCCTTTAGTCGGGGTGAAACTGTGGTGATCCAGGCCTACATGATGATGCCTACCCTGGAGTGCGTTACAGTTTCTCGACACCTGCGTTCAATCAACTTTGAAAGGTAACGTCAATGACACGCGTACGGCTTCTGACTACACGCCATTGGTGGATCGTGCCAGCCAATCCGAGACAGTGCAGACAGAATCAAAATTAAGCAAGCAATACTACAATATGATTGGTAGAAGCCTAGATAACCAATGATTTTCTGTTGTATATATTATTTCATCGCTTTCATTTCTTTCAATAACTGAACTGCGAAATGCCATTTTTGTGACCTTTTCCTCGCGTCTGGTTCACGTGGGATATTGCTAGCTCGTACCATTGCGGTCCAAAGCTTCCGTAATCCAGTCCGTGATAGCTGATCCTAGATTCGTGTCCTGTACTTCCTATTGTGTGGTTCGTATTCCGAATACTACGAACATTGCAAAAATGTCCAAGGTGCCCACAACACCTCGATAGGATGTCCGCTGGCAGTTTTCAGTACAAAAAACAGACTATTCAGCCTCATATTCCTACAATATCATTTCTAATTATCAACGCTTACGGAGGAAACCGTATTTCTTTTGAGGGGTGTGGTGAGACTCGATGAGTGAGTGTGAAGACCGGACACATATCTACTGAGTGTCATGTCTCTACCATATAAACAGCAACGGAACTTGGAACATAATATAGGAGCTGGCCTGGATTGTATTTTCTAGTGCATCAAAATAACTTCCTTGTCGTTCAGCGCAAAAGGTTGCACTACAAGTGCACTTCACGAGGTAGACAACTACGGCTGTGATTAGCATACGCAACCATTCTTTGTTGTAGTATCAGATGCTCGACCAAGTAGAGCAGAAACATAATAACCTGGCAGCAATAACACCGTGTTTCACTGCGACGGATAAAATTCTGCTAACCTATTCAGCTGTGCCATCTCCTTTAAATGGAAGTTTGATAACCGAAAGCTCTTTCTGTATGTAGAGTTCTATTCGAATCAGTTTAATCATGGTTGATAAACTTATCCGGACATCTGTTTTCTACCTAGATTTGCCTTACCAATCCCAAATGAATCCGTAAACGTTATTTCTAATAGATGAATCTTGGTTTTCTGAAGAAAATAACTTACAAAGTGTTCTTTAGTAGAGGGAGACGAACCTATTGAATCTGGCGTACTGCCTATTCCTTGTTGATTTTCGAAATTTTTTCTTTGGTTGGAACCACTACACTGTCTAGTCGGATGGACAACGAGAGGCAAGAGGCAATCGTTCACTTCTGGTTCGGTTGTTAGCTTGAGTGATGGATGTACAGAATGGAATTCCCGCTCAACGTTGTCGGCATTGGTGCTTCTGCCAACCATGCAAAAGATATCGTGTTCGCAGCAATGATATTGTTCAAAACAACTAATTATAGGGTAGTCCTCCCTAACTAGTTCACGAGAATATCGATAAGAAAGGGTAGAATGTGTTAACCCACGGTGTTATCATTCACGTGGCGGGTAAGATTCTGTTAAGCAAAAATTATACACTTCGTCTGAGGTTGAATTTGAGTTCAAGGTTGCGACTGCGATACCTACGCATATCGGTTTTTGTGTATGGTAATGAATTGACAGATGAAATCAGCTGTTTCTAATCAAAGAACTTTGTAAAGATTGAAACAATATCCAGAGAGAACATTACTCCTATATTGTGGTCTATATTCTTGATTACTTCAACAATATGTGTGCCTAGACAATCGATGACGTGTGTTCCAAAACTTTAGTTAGCCAACGGACAGTTTCCTGGTGAGGTGAATTTGTCATTGGGATAATAGATCGATAAGGTATCCTTGAGCCCACGGATCTGACACCTTCAAACAGATAGAACGATAATTAACCTGTACCTTTAACCCGCTCAACTGTATCGGTAATTTTCCTCTCAAGTTTCTCTGGTTAATAATTTTGTGACGCGTTGTAGGTGACATTTATCTGATCAGAAATACGCTGTAAACTTTTTTCAAACGTAATGAGCGCGATCGATAACCATATGTCAATGGATTATCGCGTCCCAAACACGTAAGTATTAATTGAGCTGGACGTATTTTCTCATTGAACATAACCTTGGAAGTAAGCTATTTCTTAGGTATCTTCAAATTAAACTAACCAAATGACTAAACTCACATTGGGTTGGTTATGTAGGTTCCAAACGTAAACAGGCATAAACGGCTTTCTCGAGATCTCCAATCCCACTCATTTGGCAGTTGCCAATGCTTTATTTCTTTTGCATGATTGTAAAGCATTCAAATGTAAGGTTGTTTGAATAATTTTTGAGGTTATCTTTTTATTTTTATATATTCTAGCTGAAGTGTTCACAGAAGCGTTGAGTACCTAGAGAAATGAATACGTTCTTCTAATACTCATTCATGCCACTGTTTCAATAAACCCTATGAGTGAATAAGAAATGCCACGTCATCTTCCGTATAGCATTTATTCTCATGTCCTTCAGTTCCGAGCTAAGGCCTTCTGGTAGACACATTATAAACTTAGCTATTGGTTTTCGTTTGAAGTTTGTCATTGATCCGGGTCCTTCAATGCTGGTTGCATTGTCAACCTTTAACCCTTCCTAAATTGTCAGGTTGGTTGTCCGATCGCCCGTGGGCTGATGTGATTCTTGTGAATAATATCTCATTAGTCCTGTCCGGGATTGCAACTGCTTTGGTCCCGTTGATGAACACCTATCCGCTTCTTCTCGCATACGCATGTTTCTACGGGTTTGTGATCGGTGGGTTTGTTTGAATTTGTAATCATTTACTTTTTTGTAAAAGCTAATCACGGAGAACACTAGGCAGGATATTTACTGCTTTGCCACTTTCTAGGTAAACTTATGTATCCTTAGAGGTTGAAAGCATCTGAGAGAGTATTATTGAAAAGAAAACCCCGAGGCTGATTATCCCTCGCCAAAGAGAACAGTGAAGTCTTCAAACTAAAACAGGCTGTGTGATAATCTAAAACCTCTGTATGGGAAGTATTAACTATGTACATATCAGAAAACACCGAATTTGTCATAATTCGTGAATTCGGTAGAAAGATGAGTCAACTACGGCCCTATGAACTTCGGTTACTAACACTTACATGATTGGGAGCGACCTGATTGGAAACAGCACTGCATTTACCAAGTAGTGTGTGAGTCGTATGTTCTATCATCAGTGGATTTCAAATTTGTTTGAATACAGGTAAAGTGTCAATCTTGTTAATCGTGTTAACATAGCCGATGACCGGCTTCGTCTGCTTTGAATCCGAATACAAAAAGCTCAATATTTGTTTTCCGATTTTCCGAAAGCAGAAGTTCTTATAATTATGTTAATTGTCACATGATTTCTATCAATAATCATAGGTATGAGGATCGTTGAGTTAGTGCCCAAATAACTTTCTTTTCGCTCATCTTTTTGTGAACGTTTGTTCAATTTGCCACAGCTACACTCACATGACGGAAACACGTTTTACACTCTCTGATTCATATCCGTCTTGAACTCCAATACGTATCGGATAAATCACAAAATTAGCTCTTTGTTGGTTCATTTTTTGAAGTTTTTCGCGAAAACAACTTCTGCCGAAATTGATCAAAATTCTTGGTCCGGTTTCACTAACCTGTGTCTCGGTTACCATCCAAACTCACTTAATTTACTGTTCACGGTTCGTTGTAGTCGACGTGAAGCTGTTGATTTTTGCGGATTGTTGCTCGTTCATATGCTTTCCAACTGGATTCTGAAACGATACAAGTTTCAATCGGACAATATTTTTGTTTGGTTAACAGTTTCTTGATCGGGAATTCATATAAGGCGGAGAGAAATTTTCACTCTAACTCTGTGCATCTTCCGGAAAAACATCAAGATAGTACCAATTCTACACCGGAGGCGGGAGCCGCATTAAGTCACGTACAAAAGAATGCCTAAGGACTGCATAAGCCGGTGCTTGTGGGAACATATGCAAACGCATCACACCATTAGACCACCTTCTGGTGCAAAGACCAGTTTATTTTCCACATCCCTCTACAGTGGAGTTTATAGAATTCTTTTAGTTGATTTCTTTATTTCTAAGCATCTTGAAGCTTGTGATACATTCATTGACAGGATAACACGTGATCAAGGGCACTGTCCGCACCAAGATATCGTGAAAGCCATGTCAGATCCCCGAACTCGCTCCAAATATCAACTCCTTCCTGTGCGGACTTCCACAAATCGAAACAATGCAATTCCATATCTAGCTCGGTTACTAGTAAATCGTCAGAATATTCTCACCCACCTCAGGGAAAAACTCTTGCTCTGTTTTTCTCTCATGTACTGAAGTGTAGAATTTCTTGTCTTTTTTGTTTGCAATTGTTTTATCTGTCCACTATAAAAATCGTAAACTGCTGAAAATTCACCCTTTGGGTGCATAAAGCTTTCCTTGACTTGACTTGAAATGGAATCCCATGCGGTAGAACGGCGGTAACTTGTGAAGAAAAACCGCAAACGACTTCCGCAATTGCACTCAGCCACAGCCTGAGCATAACAGGTTCACCCGAGTGCGATCTTCTGAAAACTATGAATACACTCGAGAGTTTCCAGTTTCAGTCAAGTTTATTTAAGCCTACACATCACAAAAATCACCATTTGAAATCTTGGCTCAATCTTTTTCTCGATATCGAAATAGAACGAGAAGCACGCTGCACAAACAGGTCATTATTGTGATAGATGCTAGCATGACATTTTGTGACAGTTAGAACGGTCTGTGTTACAACCTACTGAATATACATTTATTGTGTTTGTCTCTGTGCCCAGACATATTCGTTTGCTTTAATGCACCAGAAATTTAGACAACTGATATATATATATATATATATATATATATATATAACAGAATGATCATGCACATAAAACCTAATGACCTCCACGGTAGTTATATCCTGATTATCATCAGTGTACCTTTATCGTTTTCTTCAATAATTACACACTAGAACTAATCGTGACCTCCAAACCGGAAAGCACGTGTAAGATGTTTCCGGTAATCTTCTGTCAGGGTTAACATATTTTATTTCAGTCGATTCCCATCCCAATTCTGCTGATTTCTTCTGCTGCCGCAACTCTGAATCTCCTTACCAACCCGCCCCGCTCCCCGTCAATTAGCCGCATTTATCGCGGTGAGAACAATTCTGATTGTCGAGGTCCTCGGGTTGGATCGATTGACAAATGCGTTCGGATTCCTTCTACTTTTTCAAGGCATGGCTATTGTGGCCGCACCACCCTTACTAGGTCAGTATGTGATAAATCACTTTGTGTTGTTGAAATGTGACCAAACCGGTTTGTGTCATGCTGCAATAAACCCGTTTACAATCTGGTTTCATACTTAACATATAGAATCACCTCTTTGCATTATACGTTTCATTAACTTTGCTTAGTTACTTGTTTGATCATACAAACTTTCGGTTATTTTTCAAAAATAGTGTACATCATGAATTTTATTCGCTGAATCTTTCAATACTGGAAAGAACTCTCACTCTACCGCTCTTTGTGACAGTATTTCGAAACATACAACGGTCTCGTGTGGCGCACTGGTGTTGTTTTTATTATTTGCAGTCATTTAGATTGAATTTGGTTTTGGTACTGCTAGGTGACCCGAACTGTGTGGCAGGGTGTCACTGTTGAACTGAAACGAGTTGCGTAACCGAAACTGCCACACGAAATGGTGATGTTTGTTATTGAATATAGATAACCTTTAAACCGAAGCAGACACGTTATCAACTCTATATGCGGTGGGCTGCAAAATTTCTAAAAATTGGGATGTATATAATAAATTAGTGTGAGCAAAGTTAAAGTAAATTGTTATACGGTGGTGTAGAACAAAGTCAGTCACATCTAATTGCAATGCTGGATGGTATAAAACAGCCCGAATCAATCGGTAATAATTCTTTCCACGAATACCAATTTCTTCTTATTCCAAAAGCACTCTCCACATTGTTTTAGCCGGGCAATGTTTCGCGCTCCGTTAATTTTACCATTATGAGAATGTCTAATTCCACATTTTAACAACCCCAGCTATGCTCCCCGAACCTCAAGTAAAAATATCTTCGTTGAAAAATTTGATAAATCCCATGTATCTACTCTAAATTTCGTTTCAAAAACTACATTGTCGTTCTACTTTGTGACGCGTAACATACAACATTGGTGTGCTGAAACGTGTTTCATTTTTAACTGAACTCATAGTGCATTTCCAGTTAACTGGTGTAAAACAAAGCTTTCTCATGATTTGATTTGGTTGAATATAGATTACGGTATGTCATGCCATCCCGCTCCTTTTCTCTAGAATCTTGATGAAGTTGAAGCATAACGTCATACATAAGACACCGTTCAATCTCACTTTTCTTTCACTACTCTTCTCTCTGATTTAGGCTCCCTCTATGATACTTTCCACAATTTCGGATTCACGTTTATCCTTGGTGGAGCAGCCATTTTCCTCTCCGGTGTTCTATGCTTCCCATTGTCTGCTGTCGCCCGTTGGGAACGACGACGTTCGTGCCAAGCGGATCTGGATCAGAGAACGGAAATTTCCGATCCTAACACCCAAACAGGAGGGATAGCACGTCTCATTCGCCTGGTCCGTGATCAAGTTTCCCGCTTTTGTTTTAACCTGAGCAAGCCAAATTGAACGATACATGTTAAATTGTCTTTCGCAGCAGCCTGCTAGACCGTGTACGGCATGAGCAATGCCGATCCATCTTGAAATTGAATTTTGCAAACTCTTTTTCACCCGGTTACTCTAGCACGATCGCAACTAAATAAATTACCTACTGGCCAATGCACTTGACTCTCTATCTCATTGTATCAAAATCTATAAAAGGTATGATATGGTGCACAATACTGATCTCGTCCTGTGAAGTAAATCATTCGAGAAAACCCGAGCCGCTACCACGGTTGTGAGTTGGTCATTCCAATCAGTATACATCAGATCTGA